TGTAGGGTTGTCACTAAAGATTTCACGGCTGTCAGGATCATAGCGAAGAATGTTAAGGTGACGATGGAAGATTCTAGACACAGCCAAATTATTGGGGTGATAAGTTAAAAGAACAGTTTAGGTCTATCAGTACCAGGTTTAGGTTTAGTGGGCAATGCCTCTCTCTGAGTAATTGATTGTACTTTATAAGAGCATCCACGAGAATGTGTTCAGGATAAAGGCCAGAAACGCACGTGCCTTACTCAAGAAATCGGAGTTGTTAGAACACAGACACAATTAGCATTTTGTTAGCATTTCTTGCAATCAGTTCGAATGCAGTCATCCCCTCTTTAGGTCATCAAGTTCAGGTTGGGTCCGGCACAGGTAACATACATTGTACACTTACTGAGTTGATGAATCTGCGTTTGGAAACCAGTATTTCGTGCACACATTTGATGCGTCCTAGTATACCTGAGTACATTGTGACAGTGGATATGGATTCTGATTGGGAAAGTCCACAACCGTGTACTTCTGATTATTTGTTGCATGAGAAAATATTGAGATGGACGTTAAGGAACATTCTAGAGGTTAAGATCCTTTAGTGTATCGGATAATAAACGTCAACATTCTAGACGTTCAGATCCTTCAACGTATCGGATAGTAAACGTCAAGATTCTAGAGGTTCACATCATTTAATGTATCGGATAGTAAACGTCAACATTATAGAGGTTCACATCCTTTAATGTATCGGTTAGTAAACGTCAACATTCTAGAGGTTCAGATCCTTTAATGTATCGGACAGTAAACGTCAACATTCTAGAGGTTCAGATCCTTTAATTTTTCGGATACTAAACGTCAAAATTCTAGAGGTTCAGATCCTTTAATGTATCGGACAGTAAACGTCAACATTCTAGAGGTTCAGATCCTTTAATGTATTGGACAGTAAACGTCAACATTCTAGAGGTTCAGATCCTTTAATGTATCGGATAGTAAACGTCAACATTCTAGAGGTTCAGATCCTTTAATGTATCGGATAGTAAACGTCAAAATTCTAGAGGTTCAGATCCTTTAATGTATCGGATAGTAAACGTCAACATTCTAGAGGTTCAGATCCTTTAATGTATCGGACAGTAAACGTCAACATTCTAGAGGTTCAATCCTGTTAAGGTGAAGACGGGCAGGGACAAGTCCAGAAACTCACGTGCCTAACTCAATGTATCGGAGTCGTTAGAACACAACATTCTAGCATTTCAGATCATTTCTTGCAATCAGTTCGAAAACGTCAAAATTCCCTAGAGGTTCAGATCCTTTAATGGGTCCGGCACAGTAAACGTCAACATTCTAGAGGTTCACATCCTTTAATCTGCGTTTCGGACCAGTAAACGTGCAACATTCTATGAGTTCATCCTTTAATGTATCGTGACAGTAAACTCAACATTATAGAGGTTCTGAGTACATTGTGACAGTGGATATGTATTCTGATTGGGAAACGTCAACATTCTAGAGGTTTCTGATCCTTTAATGTGAGAGACATTAAACGTCAATAAACATTCTAGAGGTTCACATCTTTTAATGTGTCGGACAGTAAACGTCAGCATTCTAGAGGTTCACATCCTTTAATGTGTCGGACAGTAAACGTCAACATTCTAGAGGTTCACACGCTTTAATGTGTCGGACAGTAAACGTCAACATTCTAGAGGTTCACATCCTTTAATGTGTCGGACAGTAAACGTCAACATTCTAGAGGTTCACATCCTTTAATGTGTCGGACAGTAAACGTCAACATTCTAGAGGTTCACATCCTTTAATGTATCGGACAGTAAAAGTCAACATTCTAGAGGTTCACATCCTTTAATGTGTCGGATAGTAAACGTCAGTCATTTTATCTCACAAATAAACTCCCTACTAATATTGGCAGATAAATATCACAGATCCTTGTTTCTAGAATTCCCACACAATGTGTGATGTTCTTCCAGAAACTGGTCAGACTGACTCAACAGCTCTAGTGCAACTAAAAAGTTGCCTGGTGACACAATAATCTGGTTTTCTCCACAAAATGGCAAACTTCTGGAGGCAAGAAAGCGAAATACAGAAACGCCGCGTGTCAACACTTGATGCCCATATTTCTGCTCGCAGGGATGTCACCTAGGTAACCAAGAATATACATTTATTTATGCCTGATCAAATATGATGTCATTAACCTTTCGATATTCTTCTCCAACTTTGTTAGCCTACGATAAGACTGCTGTGCTTCCAATTAATCACCACCAGAGACAGTATTATCAGAAACCTTAATGGACGCATTATCAACAGCAACAACAATGGACGCAGTATAAACAAGTACCCGAATCAGCGCAGAATAGACATAAGCAACAATGGGCTGAAGAAACATAAACAACAATGGACACAGTATAAACAGGAACCCAAATAGGTGCAGAAGAAACATAAACAACAATAGACACAGTATAAACAGGAACCCCAATTGGCGCAGAAGAAACATAAACAACAATGGACACGTTATAAACAGGTACTCTAATGGGTGCAGAATAAAGATAAACAACAATGGACGCAGTATAAACAGGAACCCCATTAGGTGCAGAATAAAGATAAACAACATTTAACGCAGTATAAAAGGAAACAAAATTAGACGCAGCATAAACAGCAGTAGGTGCCACATAAACAAGAACTCACAACAGAAATAATAATAAGAGGAACCAAAAAATTTAAAAATATGATGGGTTTATTTATGTTTGTTCAGACTGTATTGGCACCAGGGGATGTAACTCCCAAACGTCTTCAATAGAGTCAAAAGGGAAACAACTCATAGCATTTAATGGCGGCTCTGTGAGTTCTCAGCCAAGTTTAATATAATCCTTTGCCTGCAGAGAAAGAAAGAAAACAGGGATTAACAAGAGCTGTACACTGATCCGCTCCGATATCGGTTAGACCACACCAACTCTGTTGTCGGGGGCCCTAAATATAACCTAATGGTTGAACAGGGTTTCTGAGACATGCACCCGGGCGATTCTCATCCGAATGCATTGCATTCTCCGTCCCAATACAGTTAAGTTATCTAGTTTCGTAATTTTTAGAAAAACATTTTTGTCATTTGAAGCCCCACCCTGGTTTTGCCAGGGGCCGCCATATAGGCAGGCCATAAATATGGCCAATTGTCTGGACGCGGTTTCTGGGACCTCTCAACGGTGATCCTCATCCACATGGTGGCACTTTGTGTCATCAGGTGTTTATCGCTTGTGTGATGTCCTAGTGGGGTAGACAGTCAAGTCCCAATACAGGACGCAATGCTTAGTTACCTTGAAGCCCCACATTGGTTGTTGACGGGGGCCCTAATTTAACCCAAACCTTTGGGTTGAACGGGGTTTCTAAGACCTCTCCATTTTGGTCCTCATTCGAATGGTAGCACTTTATGTCACCAGGATTTTATCGTTGGTTGGGGTTGACCGTCTTTTAAAAAACCCAGAAAAACTAAACTTTAAATAAAGTGTGCCCAATCATAATCTTCACTCAATCCCAAAAGAACTCAAATGTTAATAAAGTGTGTCCAATCATAATGGTCACTCAAGCCCATAAGAACTCAACTGTTAATAAAGTGTGTCCAATCATAATGGTCACTCAATCCTAAAAGAACTCAACTGTGAATAAAGTGTGTCCAATCATAATGGTCACTCAATCCTAAAAGAACTCAGCTATGAATAAAGTGTGTCCAATCATAATGGTCACTCAATCCCAAAAGAACTCAGCTGTGAATAAAGTGTGTCCAATCATAATGGTCACTCAATCCCAAAAGAACTCAGCTGTGAATAAAGTGTGTCCAATCATAATGGTCATTCAATCCCAAAAGAACTCAGTTGTGAATAAAGTGTGTATAATCACAATGGTCACTCAATCCCAAAAGAACTCAGCTGTGAATAAAGTGTGTCCAATCATAATGGTCACTCAATCCCAAAAGAACTCAGCTGTTAATAAAGTGTGTCCAATCATAATCGTCACTCAATCCCAAAAGAACTCAGCTGTGAATAAAGTGTGTCCAATCATAATCGTCACTCAATCCCAAAAGAACTCAGCTGTGAATAAAGTGTGTCCAATCATAATCATTCAATCCTAAATCCTCAGCTGTGAATAAAGTGTGTCCAATCACAATGGTCACTCAATCCCAAAAGAACTCAGCTGTGAATAAAGTGTGTCCAATCATAATCGTCACTCAATCCCAAAAGAACTCAGCTGTGAATAAAGTGTGTCCAGTGTGATGTTTAGATTTATTATCTTCACAGGTAAGTGTCCACTCTGTTACGAGAGACGTCTGTAATTAGTTTTGAATGCCCTTAACCCTTATGGTGCACTGGCACGGTAGCCAGAACGAAATCCCACAGGTCAGGTGGTTAAGGGTCAAATCTCCTCCGAGACTAGATTTGTCTTTTTCAATGACCTGGACTGCCAACACCAGGAAATTTTCTGGGAAGTAAATTCGACTAATAGGACATTATCCATGTAACTCACAAAGGGTTTATTGTTCCTTCAGCTTTAACATTTGTCCTTTATTCAGGTTTGTCCGCTCCTGGCTGTTACCTAAGTGTTGACCACCATGATATAACCACATCTGGATAGCAGACCAGCCGGGTTAATCCCAGATACCCTGTTCAACCCATAAGGAAGTTTCCAGTGGGAGACCAGTTCAGACTCCACTAGCCCGATGTCAACTGAAATCCTGTATGGGTAAGGCAGTTCTATATTATCGCATTACAGTTACGCACTAAACAAGTAGCACACATATTCTCTTCATGCTTTGACTTGCAGGTTACCGTCTGACTCTAATCAGTGGCCTCTGATGTCAGTAACTGTCACGACTTGATCTTGTCTCTCATTCTCTTCTTAGCCCTCGTCCTCATCACCTTGTGTCATGCCGACAATATAATGTACAGTCTACCTGCAACCCCAATGAAGTATCACAAACACATACAACGTTATACATAACTATTAGTTCTGTCAGTTCTACAAAACCTTCAGAAACAGCCAGTTGACTTACCATATATCCCACCCAGTCCGTATCCTGCTCCGATTCCAGCCAAACCGATTCCACCCAGACCGTATCCTCCTCTGATTCCAGCGAAACCGATTCCACCCAGACCGTATCCTGCTCCGATTCCAGCCAAACCGATTCCACCCAGCCCGTATCCTCTCCGATTCCAGCCAAACCGACTCCACCCAGACCGTATCCTCCTCCGATTCCAGCCAAGCCGAATCCAAGTTTACCATAACCGAGTCCCCACTCCGCCAATGCCGACTCCCGGCAGGCCAAAGCCTTGGGCACTCATAGAGAGAGCTGCCACCAGCAGGAGGACTGTCGCGGACTTGTACATGATCTGTGGACAGGGACAGTAAGTCGTTCAGGACAGTAAGTGAGGCGTTCAGGACAGTGAGTCGTTCAGGACAGTGAGGCGTTCAGGACAGTGAGGCGTTCAGGACAGTAGGCGTTCAGGACAGTAAGGCGTTCAGGACAGTAAAGCGTTCAGGACAGTGAGGCGTTCAGGACAGTGAGGCGTTCAGGACAGTGAGGCGTTCAGGACAGTGAGGCGTTCAGGACAGTGAGGCGTTCAGGACAGTGAGGAGTTCAGGACAGTGAGGCGTTCAGGACAGTGAGGCGTTCAGGACAGTGAGGCGTTCAGGACAGTGAGGCGTTTAGGACAGTGAGGCGTTCGTGACAGTGAGGCGTTTAGGACAGTGAGGCTTTCAGGACAGTGAGACAGTGAGGCGTTCAGGACATTGAGGTCGTTCAGGACAGTATTTCAGAACAGTAAGGACAGTTCAGATACAGTGAGGGTTCAGGACAGAGAGTTCTCAGGACAACAGTCAGATAGTTCAGGAGGCGTTCAGGACAGTGAGGCGTTTAGGACAGTGAGGCGTTTAGGACAGTGAGGCGTTCGTGACAGTGAGGCGTTTAGGACAGTGAGGCTTTCAGGACAGTGAGGACAGGACAGTTAGGGCGTTTAGGACAGTGAGGCGTTCAGACAGTGGGGCGTTCATGACATTGAGGCGCCAGGACAGCTGGGCTTTCAGGACAGTCTGTAGTACAGTCATTCAGAACAGTTGCCAGGCAGACAGACTGCAGTCAGTGAATTCTAAACAGTAAGAGACTCAACAAGTGACCAAGACTTTCCAGGCAGACAGCTGACAGTAGACATGACAATGTCAGTAAACAGTGAGAAACAGTTCCATGCTTGCGACAGCAGAAGTACAATCTACAGTACTCGGTGACCGTTGCCAGGCAGACAGCTGAAGTACATTCTACCGTACTCGGTGACCGTTGCCAGGCAGACAGCTGTAGTACATTCTACAGTAATCGGTGACCGTTGCCAGGCAGACAGCTGAAGTACATTCTACAGTACTCGGTGACCGTTGCCAGGCAGACAGCTGCAGTACATTCTACAGTACTCGGTGACCGTTGCCAGGCAGACAGCTGCAGTACAATCTACAGTACTCGGTGACCGTTGCCAGGCAGACAGCTGCAGTACTCTGTTGCCATCGCCTCAGACAGCTCAACAGTACTCGGTGACCATTGCCAGGCAGACAGCTGCATCTCTACAGTACACATCACACAGTACTCTCAGTATCTCTAACACACGCTGTACAATCTCAGTACTCGGTGACCATTGCCACAGACAGCTGAAGTACAATCTACAGTACTCGGTAACCGTGACACACAGTCTCTCTAAGACAGACAGCTTGCAGTAACACATCGCACATTCACACTACTCGGTGACCGTTGCCAGACTCTCAGCTGAAGTACATAACACACACACTCACTAACACACACATACTCTCTCTCTGCCATTATGACACTTCTGCACACTCTCTCTCTCTCTCTAACACACAAACACTCTCTCTCTCTAACACACACAAACACACACACACACACTCTCTCTAACACACACACACAAAAACACACACACACTATCTCTCTCTCTCTCTAACACACACACAAACAGACACACACTCTCTCTCTCTCTAACACACACAAACACACACACACACACACTATCTCTCTCTCTCTCTCACTCTCCAAGACAAATCTGGCATCAGTAAGAAAGCAGTTGGTCACTAAGAATGTAACATGGCTTGTCTTCCTGGTATCTTCTGGTACATGTTTGTTTTCAAATACAGAACATCCTGATGTATTTGAACCCATGGACCAGAGGTGAAGCTTCCCGAACATTTTCTTCCATAACCTGTCTGGTGCCATTCTCCTACAGTCCAGCTGTATTTGTTCTACCATTGTATTCCCTGTTTCCACCACTTCATCGTTTCACATTAACTTGCTTTCTTGTTCTCTCTTTTTTGTTTTGTGTCTTAGGATTTAACCAAGCTCTTTCGGACTGCGTGGATTGTTATCAAGATATGGGGCGCCGCAGGTCGACCAAGACTAAAATGGGTACCAGGATGTATGTCCTGGGGAAGTAAATATGGCCGGCGAATGCTGACCACATTACCCACTGAATACTTCCCGAATGGTCTGTCCATTACCTGGGTGCGTTTCTCCTATCCAGCTGATTTTGTTTCTCATTGTATGAACAGGGATGTTAACACTTCATCGTTTCACATTAACTTGCTTTCTTGTTCTGTCTTTTTTGTTTTGTGTCTTACGTTTTGACCAAACTATTTCAGACTCTGCGTGGATTTTTATCATGGTAAGGGGCGTCGCAGGTCGACCCAGCCTAAAATGGGTACCAGTATGTATGTCCTGGGGAAGTAAATAAGGCCAGCGAATGCTGACTACATTACCCACATAGTGCCGAATTGTCTGTAAAAACATGGATGCGTTTCTCATATGACCAATGAGCTTCAGGACGATGTTAACATTTTGTTCTCAAATGAAAGACTAATGTTTTAACAACATGAATTTTCCCCCACACAGTTTGGTGTTTTATTAGATAAAGAAAATTAACAATTCCCACAAATCAAAGCTATAATATATTGTGAAGAACAACATTAACAACATTCCCCACAAATTAACTGATAATATAAACAACATGAACTTTCCCACAAATGAAATGATAATATAAACAACATGAACTTTTCTACAAACGAACAGCTAACACGAACACAGATTCTACTCACATGAGATCTGTGGTATAAGTTACGGCAGGCTGGGCTGGTCGGATGTGATACTTCTCATCGAAACTGCCCCGGTTTTATAGATTCCCATGCGCACTTTGATGTTTCTGGTAGCCGCAGGGGGAGATAATGCCACATGCACGTGGGGTAAACTTTAATGCGGTTTAGTGCTCACTGATGCGACAGTCAGACACCAACTAATCTCTATAATCTTTATAATCCTTTCTGTAATCTTAGACTGATATAAACACTATACAGTTTTTTGAAAAATGCGTAAAGGACCCTGTTCCACGTCTCGAGGCGTGTTGGGAATATAGGGCTAGGCCTACGTTTGTGTAAACAAATCGGCACTCGGTGGATGATGTGGTCAGCAATACGCCGACCGCCTTTACTTTCCAGGACTGCACCTGCTACCCATTTAAGGCTGTGTCGACCTGGGAGTCAAAAAAGTCCGGCTCTGTCAGCGCGTGAACCCACGACTTTGTGATGGGCAGGCTGGAATCTAGCCGCCAACGCCACGACCACTGATATAAAGACCATGTTGAAATTATTTATTTACTTAACAGGACCTAAAATTGAAGTTTGGGCGTAGGGGTTGGGGTGGGTTTTAATCACACCAATGCTATCACTATATAACATTCTTAACACAACAGAGTGACAGAAACCACATCACAAATGACGAGATTCCCCGTATTAATTACCTAGCACATTAGAAACCAGGAACCTCTGTTTAAATACAGAAAAAAGGCAGAAAATGTGATGGAACGGACATGTAATAAGATCTAACGGCCTATCAAAAAAAAAAAACAAAAAAAAAAAACAATAAAACAAACAAAAACAATTATTTATTAACAAAATAAATGTTGCATGTCTTAGAAGAGGGAAAGATGAGAGGAGGCAGACCAGAAAAGACCTAGATAGAGAACTTGACTGACACTGAATAGGCATCCATAAAGGTCATCGCACCTGAGCCTCAACGGTGGAGGGAGCTGATTAGACAGTCAAGAGCAACTAGTAACCCAACGACGTACCGTGTCATGGGATGATGATGTATGGTGTCAGACTTTTAAAAATATAATATTATGTACTCTCTGAACGGTATCAGACAAATATATTGTATAGCCTAAAACCCCCACCCTAACCCGAATGATATCTGACACTAGGTTAAGTGATATTACGTACCGCTCGAATGATCATCCGCATTACAGACGTGACATTGCGCACCTTACGAACGTTTGTTAACACTAGATATTTGATTTTGATTTGCCCCGGGAATGATATGGCATACTGGAAATATGGTAGTGCGTACTTGCTCAATGATATGCCGGACATCAATCAATATATGGTAGTGCGTACTTGCTCAATGATATGCCGGACATCACTCAATATATGGTAGTGCGTACTTGCTCAATGATATACCGGACATCACTGAATATATGGTAGTGCGTACTTGCTCAATGATATGCCGGACATCACTGAATATATGGTAGTGCGTACTTGCTCAATGATATGCCGCACATAACTCAATATATGGTAGTGCGTACTTGCTCAATGATATGCCGGACATAACTCAATATATGGTAGTGCGTACTTGCTCAATGATATGCCGCACATCACTCAATATATGGTAGTGCGTACAAGCTCAATGATATGCCGCACATCACTCAATATGTGGTAGAGCGTACAAGCTCAATGATATGCCGCACTTCACTGAATATATGGTAGTGCGTACAAGCTCAATGATATGCCGCAAATCACTGAATATATGGTAGTGCGTACAAGCTCAATGATATGCCGCAAATCACTGAATATATCGTAGTGCGTACAAGCTCAATGATATGCCGCACTTCACTGAATGTATGGTAGTGCGTACAAGCTCAATGATATGCCGCAAATCACTGAATATATCGTAGTGCGTACAAGCTCAATGATATGCCGCACTTCACTGAATGTATGGTAGTGCGTACAAGCTCAATGATATGCCGCAAATCACTGAATATATCGTAGTGCGTACAAGCTCAATGATATGCCGCAAATCACTGAATATATGGTAGTGCGTACAAGCTCAATGATATGCCGCAAATCACTGAATATATCGTAGTGCGTACAAGCTCAATGATATGCCGCAAATCACTGAATATATGGTAGTGCGTACAAGCTCAATGATATGCCGCAAATCACTGAATATATCGTAGTGCGTACAAGCTCAATGATATGCCGCAAATCACTGAATATATCGTAGTGCGTACAAGCTCAATGATATGCCGCAAATCACTGAATATATCGTAGTGCGTACAAGCTCAATGATATGCCGCAAATCACTGAATATATGGTAGTGCGTACAAGCTCAATGATATGCCGCAAATCACTGAATATATCGTAGTGCGTACAAGCTCAATGATATGCCGCATTTCACTGAATGTATGGTAGTGCGTACAAGCTCAATGATATGCCGCAAATCACTGAATATATCGTAGTGCGCACTTGCTCAATGATATGCCGCACTTCACTGAATGTATGGTAGTGCGTACAAGCTCAATGATATGCCGCACTTCACTTAATATATGGTAGTGCGTACTTGCTCAATGATATGCAGCACTTCACTGAATATATGGTAGTGACTACATGTGACTACAAAGTACACAAACATGATAGGACACTTAAGAAATGAAAAATCACACGGATGATGGAAGGCATTCTCATGCAGAATGCTAGGCACTACATGCATAATATTGCGCATACACAACCTGTCATGCACTTATATGTATAACGTTAAACATTACGGGCCGAAGTTGCTTGAATAAATAACACTGAATAAATCAAGAACTTACATCACTGCACTGGAGACATTCCCACACGTTCTCCGTCTCATTCTTCAGTAAACCACGAGGAGTTTTAAAGTTACTTAGGTAATGTTAGATATCAAACACTTGACGTTTGCAACAATAGCATGAGTTCGAAATGACACACGTATTTTCTGTTTTTTGTTTTTATTTTTATTTTGAAATCTGTGTCTGGTGTGTGAGTGTGCGTGTGTCTGGTGTGTGAGTGTGTGTGTGTCTGGTGTGTGAGTGTGTGTGTGTCTGGTGTGTGAGTGTGCGTGTGTCTGGTGTGTGAGTGTGCGTGTGTCTGGTGTGTGAGTGTATCTGGTGTGTGAGTGTGCGTGTGTCTGGTGTGTGCGTGTGTCTGGTGTGTGAGTGTGTGTGTGTCTGGTGTGTGAGTGTGTGTGTGTCTGGTGTGTGAGTGTGCGTGTGTCTGGTGTGTGAGTGTGCGTGTGTCTGGTGTGTGAGTGTGCGTGTGTCTGGTGTGTGCGTGTGTCTGGTGTGTGAGTGTGTGTGTGTCTGGTGTGTGAGTGTGATTGTGTCTGGTGTGTGGGTGTGTCTGGTGTGTGAGTGTGTGTGTGTCTGGTTT